TGTGTCTGATTCTTCACAATAAGGAAGAGCAGGAGAGAGGATGTTTTAGTCACCCACACAGAGTGACAACCATGCAATTCTGCACTGAGCTGGAACGCATCTAAAGATGTCTGAATACCGATATCAGCATTGGAAATGTCTCCAGTACAACCAAAAATGCTGTGTCAAGAATCTGCGAGAATGGAAATCTATGCACCAATCCAATACCACCCAAATAAAACTGCAATTTTCTTTAGCTGGAAATCACATCTTCTTTGCTTCTTGAAAACAGCAATTGTGCTGTACTGCCACTGGTGAGTACTGTTTTTAGGACGGTGACGAAGAAGTGATTTCAAATAGCATAGTTAAACAGAGCTAGCTAAAATATATGCAATTTAGTAATATTTCATGCTGTAAAGACCCACAAGTAAAACAGCAACATGTACTGTGTCAAATACTTAAGTTTCAAACTAATTAATGGAAGAATTGTTGTGTATGTCTACCTTTTTTAAATTTGTGTTCTTTTTCATTTATCTCTGTCAAACTAGACAAAATAACAAAAAACAGTTTTTCTGTATGTATTTGTTTTTCAAAGGGTTTCCCCTGAGCCACACCACACAGCAATGATAGCAATATTGGGTTTCTAGCATACAACTTTTAAAATACATTATATATATATTATGAATTTGTATCAGATCGGTACTTCTGTATCGGCCAATACGCTAAGTACAGGTATAGGAATCTGTATCAGGAAGGGAACATGGTATAAGAAGGTGTATCATTATAAAAACAAACCTCAAAAGATTTTACACTCAAGTGTTTCTCCTCATTGTGTTTGTGGGCTTCACAATAGCCAGACACACGTCGGCCACAGGAGAAAACTTCCCATGTGCCACCTCTGGTGAGGAGGAACAGTTCTAGCTGCCTCTCCACAGGCATGTCCAAACACATGCATTTAAAGATGCTGCCCTTGCAGCATGTAAGTCTGTCAAGACTTGGTCGCACTGTCAGTATCACACAACCTGAGATTACTGGATCATGTACAGTCACAGACAGGCTGACATTTCATTTAAAGCAGAATGAGGTCAGTTCATAAATGAGGTCTTTCAGTGACTAGCAGACAAAGGGAGTGTCAGGTCGACGAGGAGGCGAATCCTCCATCACGGTTATTACCAAAGAATTGAAAACAAAAACAGGACTCTGAATCATCAGAGGCATTTATGCAAAGCAAGAACTAGTGTTAGCTGGCTTGTATGTTTTTTGTTAGCATCCATTTACAGCTGTGCTAACGTTGCTGCTTATGCTAGCATGCATTTGGAAATTTAGCGATTATCCTCCTATGGAGATGTCAGTCAAATGTAAAGCTCAGACACAACCACACAGGATGCATGTGGTAAAGAAAGCTAAAGGCAGCCAAAACAACAAGTGTCAAGAGCCATTGCTAACGCTAGCCCCGGCTACATGTCGACTGAGCCCATCTGCAAGCGAAGGTTTCTGGATTTGAGAGGTTTGAAAACGTCAAAGACAGTGGAAGTTGATTTTGAAACTCGTCTCTGAGGTTAGCAGATAAACTTCCCAACCGACCGCAGGGAGGGCGACTGGACATTTGACGGCTGCACTTTGTTTACGTACAGACAAGTCATTTCTGCTGCCCAGCTGGTTAGCATGCTAGCATGTAGCCGGCAGCCCAGACCACGGTGGTCGAGTCGCCGCCTGACGGGCAGGCAGAGCACCGACGGCGGCGTGCACTTACAGGAAAGGCCCGTATCCTCATCTTGGTGTCCTTCTTGGTGCCGCCTTTGCTGAGATTGGACATGGTTGCCTCGTCCGTGGGCTCTGTATTCACATGAACGTGTTCTCCGGGGAGGGACGGGGGTGGCGACTGGTTTGAGGAGCAGCCGACGAGCTTTCACTCGACCTCGTAGCTCCGCGTCCCGGCGCCGCAAGTTTATTGTTGACAGCCCGACGCCAAATCCGAGACTTGTTCATGCAGCAATGGCGGAGGAGCTGCACTTCTCATTGCGCAGAGCTCGCGTAGCCCAACTCACGCGAGAAATCAACATCTGAACTACTTGTCAACTTCTCTGGCACCTGAACGAAAACCACGAAAACTACAGTAGAGGAATAATACATCACTAATGTACTGCTACAACAACAACAACAACAACTACTACTACTACTACTACTACTACTACTACTGATTCACGTTTTGAAAACACGTCGTTAATAAAAAAGTACATAAGTGACAACACGTATGTATGATCAGGAATATGTAGGCCTACTTAAATAATGAAAAGTAAGAGTACTCACAGTACTACTATTTAATATGACTATTATAATTAATATGATTGCGATAATTATTATTATCATGTATCACTATTTATAATATCATATTATTTACTGTTGCAGCTGGTTGATAGAGATTTTCAATTATTCTCTACAGAATTGTGATTCATTATTTTCTTTCATCTCTTAATCTGCTGACTAGAGATGATGTGGATGTTTCTTTTGTCCATTCTATGCTCCAGACCTCATCATTTATAATGGTTAAAGTACACACAAGGGAAAGCAGTATACACGCACATCTGAAAAGCAGAAATCAGGAAATATTTGGTATTTCGGCTAGAAAAATGCCTTAAACCTGTATCAAAACAGATTTTCAGCTTTAGTTATCATTAGGGACAGTTCTTTAATTTGGAATACAACATCATATTTTATAACCTCTTTATATGTTTTTTCAACTATTTAAATACAAGTACCTCAAAATTGTACCTAAGCAGAGTAGATTAGTAAATCTTTGATGCATTCCATTACTAACATTATTATGTATTCATAACAACCATTAGGCAGAGTTTTGATTTTAGAGCCTGTACATAGATACATAGATACCTGGACTTACTTGTGTTTCTTGAGGATGTTTCATCTCTCATCAAAGAGGCTTCATTCAGTTCATCAAGACCAAATATGTTTCTGGTATTATTTCAGTGATGGAAGAGGTAGAAGAAGAACACAGATTCTTGATGGAGTTTACTAGTAAAAATTGTAAATTGATCATGAATTAATAATGAGAGAATGGGCCCGTGGACTAGAGCAGGTAAAAGTCCCCCTTCCTGCCACACATAGATGCCCAAGAGCCAAAAATGATTGTGATTGTTGTGTGTATTTATGGTCATTGTTAATCTCTTTGCAGTCATTAGATTAGCTCTGTGAAATATTAACAGTTACACAGAGGCTCTGGCCCAGCTGAAATTTATAAGCTGTAAAATTTATGTCCCCCTTTCTCAAATTGTGCTTTCATATAGAATCCATCGGTGACTTTACATACTGGAATGTCTTTAATCAAAATTTTATCCAGGATCTCAGATTTTAGTTTTTTTTTCTTCTTCTAAAGTTTGTCTTATTTTAATTGCTGATTGTTGAGAAGTGGACTGCAATAGATTTTCACCTTCGACAGCCCCCAGTGTGTTAATCTGGCCATGATTATACAGTATCAGTGTAGGTCGACAGGTTCAACAAACAGGTCACTGTGATGAGCAGATCAGTGTCACTGAGGCCTAATGTCACCGGATCCAAACACAACATTAGAGAGTACGGTAAAACTACTGTGTGGTGTTGTGCAATTTTTAGAGACATCAACCAAGAAGCCTTTCACCAGATTTATTCCAAGAAAGAAAAGAAAAAAAATCAAAATATCTTTTGTCTTCTTGCCAGAAAATGTCCTCGTTCATTAGACCTGAACAAGAAAAGACCACCAGCACTCAGAACTCAAACAAATCAACTGCATTTAGTTCTCAGTATAAGCATTATTTATACATGTCAGATTACGTTTGGGATCCGTGGTAGAATATCATTTGTATATCCTAAATACACATATATTTTTCTTTCCTCCCCTCTGTCTAAAAGTCTAAAGCTCGGGCTTGTTCAAATATGGCATGAAAAATAAAAGAGAGAACAGGATGCAACCACTTTAAATACATTACAGAAATGAAATACTTCCCATCGTAATAATGAAAGACAATCAAGTAACATTTTCTCTTTGATATTTACAGCAAATATACGTTTGCTACTTTTAACAATGACTTCACAGGTGATCGTTTCGATGACGTGACATCACAGGTTTGATTCCCGCTGCTCTGTGATGATGGGAAATAGATTTTAGTTTGTACTTCCTGGATGAGCTGCATATTTCAGACCTGGTCATGATGAATCAGAAAAGTTTTATATGGATATAGCCCTCGTCAACACGCCAACATTAAAAATAAAAAAATAATCTAATTTAGTGTGCGTCTGTTTTTCCGTTGCAGCTTGGCCAGGAAGTAGAAAATGTTTGCTTGGCACATTTAGCCCTGACTTTCAAAAACAAACATGGAGGGACAGATACACACTCAGTATAGAAAACGGACACAGGTCTGGACACTCAAAGCATCGATAGAAGCATTTTCAATGGAGACATCATCATCTAACCCTTAATGCATTTTGAGAACCAGACCTAAAGTAATAATTTAACAAGAGGCATAGGTATTTACATAGGAATCTATGCAACATCACAGAGGCAGATACTTCATATTGCACATGAAAAAGGCAGGTACATATGAAACAGTGGTTTAAAAAGAACAGAAATGGGAAAATCACACATGAGAGAGAAAATATTTGAGAATACAATGTATTAGGGTCATTTAAAGAGGAAAGCTTAGATTTAC